TTTTTCAAAATACGCTCAATTAACGAAGAATGATGAAAGCAATCAGTCATTATACTCGTCTGTTTTTTATCCTTACTCCTATCTATAATGAATGGATCGTTGCTTAGGACTTCTTTAATTCAAACATCTGTATTGTGCATTTCTTCTTTTACTCCTTTTCCTCTTTGTTTATGGCACTTAAAGTTTTTCATAATGGTAGAACACTTTTCTGTCATTATCGGCATTTGAATAAAATTTAAATAAAGCTTTGCAACAGAATGTGGATGTTTTTTTTTTTCTGTTTATTGTATCACTTGTCTTTTAAACCACCTTATTTGTGCTGTTCAAGTCCCGATTTTGTGATCAATCAGAACAAGTTTTGTAAGATGGGCCATTAACTGAAGTAATATGCTATTTTTCTTTGAAATATGGCGTGATTTCTCTTGAAAGATTTATCGTTATCGAAGTAAACAGAAATTGATTTTATCTCGGAATTTTAAAAAAAAGCACACATAATCTCCCGTAAAAATAACGCAGCAGCTCAATCATTAAAGTATTGGTTAGTAACTAGTGGCTTTTGGTGCATCGCCAAACCAAACGCTGAACACTTACAGAACTTGTTCTGATTGATCACAAAGCGAGACTCCTGTTAACTCTTTTCAAGTTCTTCTCTTTTATATTAATGAAATTTTCAAGGAAGCAATCCTAACTGATTTTTTCGCGGAATTGTGAACCATTAATTGAAATTATCACACCATAGATGAATATCAAATATAGGATGCGATTAACAATTGATATATAATGTTCCTTTTTTCTAAGACTGTTTTTTTTTTCTCTTTTTTTGTCGTGTTTAACACACTGCTTAACTGATTTGGAATCAATGAGTGGGAAAATTCCAACATTCTTCCAACGAAAGATTTTTTTAGGAGTATAAAGCTCATATTCTATCTATTTATAACATCATTTTAGGGAAAAGTCGGTCATAATCAGCGTTACAGCGAGCATCGCGAGATCGCACACGAAGTCATTGTTAGTAACAATTCACAACGCATTATGATGAATCAAGCATCCGTAAGCTTCAAAAATTTTTGAAATCATATTTTTGATCTTTGAATACTTATTTCATTCATTTTAATGAAGATATTTTCTGAAATAAGATAGGGACTGAAAATATAAATTAACAGGCTTTTATAGGAATGAAACATTAAAATGAATAAGTATTCAAACATCAGAAATATGATAAATGAGGAAAAAATACCAAGGAGGATATGGAGAGATTTTCATTCCCCAGAGCTGAGATTTGTTGTCATGAATGAAATTTTAAAAATTTGTGATTTCGAGACTCCTATTTAAATTGGACAAAGGAAATATAATTACTATTTGGAGTGCTTTCACATATTTTTAATTTAGGCGACTAATTTAATTAATGTTGAAATGATGAATTGAACAATTGACATAGTCACTTAGAAAAAAAAATATATATATATCATCCTGACTTAATGAACAGCAGTTGAGGCAGTATGTAACAAAATAAAAAAATTGTGTGATAAAGTATACCTTTTTTCGTATTCCTTCAAGTGGATGTTAGATTTGATCATTACATCAAAACTGTTAGCACATTAAATTCAGTACATTTTTTATCTCTAAGATATTGCCATGTTACTGATAATTCTAGCAGATGCTACTAGGGTAATTATAATAAATCATCCTTGTGAAAATAGCATAAATGTGATTTGGTATTTGGTTCTTTTTGACTTTTTATCTACAAAATTTCCACATTATTTAAATTACTTTTTAACTATTTGATAACTATTTCTTTCTATTATATACTGAATTAGCTCAGGTAATTGCTTAAATCATTAAACCCTACTCGCTTTCACCATTAAATCCCAGATGAATCAGCATATCTTTATTCGTTTTATAATCCCGATGTTTATTATATTTTCAGACGGTAGATAATGTTTTAAGTGATGATGATGAACAGGAGTGGCATGATGCTCATGATAGTACACCCGAAAACAGCGATATAAAAGAACCCAGCTTTGCAGTTCGTATCTTTTCGATTTGAAATAGTTCTTAATGCAATAATTAAACTTAGTATTCTGTTACTCTTAATTTACTTGAATTAATTCACTTAATTTTTTCATTCAAGCATGCCTGCTGTCCAACATTTTGTTGGTTTAGATCTTATAGAATAAGAAAAAAACAATAGAAAATGCTAAATATTCCAATGCTTCGGGATATGCATTATAATAACTTTTTGAACTGTGAAAAACACTTTGACAAACCAAAGTTTGTCTTTTTTCGCGATACGTGCCGAGTATTTTTAATGGTGAATATGTCCATCACGCATATAGAGAGCTAGTATAACATATTAACAATAACTAGTCGATATGACGAAAGTTTTATGCATAACATATCAATTTACTTTTGCGTCTATTTTGATCTAAAGCAAATATTTGTCTCATTTTAATCTGAAGGTGCTTTTCAGATTGAAATCGGAACTTAAACGATTTGTGGCAATGTTTCATATGTATTTACACATTTTGTTTCAGAAAATGAGTTGAATTTTTCGTGGCACTTTCTGACATGTGGTTGATTGTTAAAGATCACAATTTTTTATTGCCAAAAAATTCGATATCTAAAGTGTCCATGTCCATGTAGGATGGGATTTAATTATCTGACTCAAGCATTCCAGTATGTCACGTTTCCTGCCATTTATTTGAATTGAACTAATTTTGCTATGATTTCAGGTGAACCAAGCAACGTGGATGCCGAATTTAGAGTCACTAACCGAGACGAGAGGAACAAATGAAAATTTTCCCACTATTGCTGAATCACCACCCAAAGATGTTACTTTGCCTGCATCAAATCCATTTGCAGTAGAAATCAATCAAATTGCGATGGAACAATTAAAATATGCAAGATCTAGTATTTATGAGGATGTTAGATTTTGCATTTGAATGCTAAATTTCTATTCTAATAGATTGAATTAGGTTGTTTTACGGTCAACGTCATTTACTAAATTATATCTAGTTTGAAACCATATAATCTGAAAGAAATGCACTGTATTGAAACATTTGGTAGTTTTGTTTCAAAACTTAAAAACAAAATTAAAAGAATGAAGAAAATCTTCAAATTTATGCTAATTTAGAAAAGAATAATAAAATTTTTGTGATTTGAGCAAAGCTACTTTTACATTTCTTTCTTTTTATAAAAAGCTTCCATAAGCTTTTTTCACTTTTTAGTACTTATTGGATGCTATCTCGTATTCCGCATAAATAGCTTGTTGAACGATTGAAGTGCATTCTAGAAAAGTTTGTATTCTTTGAAATATACGTTGAAATAACGACCTTTAGAAATAATGATCAAAGATGATCGCATCTAAAAATGAAGGAATTTATAGGTTTGGCAGTTATTCATGGACGAGAATGAAATGAAAATGTATAGGAGAGAATTGGAAATTAATGGAATAGTCTGTGATCCATTGAAAGCTATTCATCTTGTGCAGGTTTTTGTTTTCAAGCCTTCCTAAGAAAGGATTTAACTTATATATTTGTTAGTAAAATTTGAAGTTTAAATTTCAGAGTAAAAATGCAACATTGTAAAATAAAAAGCTCCTTTCAATACATTCATTGGAAAAAATCTATTTATAACATCAGAGCAACACAGAAAACATTTTTTTAGCAGTGCAAGTGAATTAATGAAATTTATTTTAACCCATGTTATTTCAGGGTGTATCGGCTCGGGAATACATCCATTATTTCTTCGAACCGCGATACAAACATGAATGGGATGGTTAGTTTCTTTTTTTCTGTTTTAAAAATAGACGAAAATAGGAGTTAGGAGGAATTTTATCCAACTGTACAATCAGTTTTTGCTTTTTCTTTTCGAATTTTTGAATAATCGGAATTCATGCAAATTTTTCTTTCATCCTAAAATTTATACAAATTTTTATAAATTTTTCTTTTATTCTGTAGTTTCAAACGGATTATTAGTCTAAAGGGATTGTCATTTATAGTTCTGTTAGATTTTATCGAGTATCAAAAATAAACAAGTGACGGAAATGGTATGATAAATTTTCAGAAACATTAGTCAAGACAAAAGTTGTTGATAGAATTTCTATGGATACTGTTATAATACATCAGGTTAGATATCTTTCACTGAGGTATATCGAATGTTTTTTCATCATACTTTCTGTATTTAAATTTTTGAAATCAGTTTTACTTACTTTTGCCTCAGTCATCAGTTTATTCTGTTTACCAGTTGATGATATTTGTATTATATTTTCTTTTCAGCTGCACAAAAGAATTTGGCCATCTGCTCAACGGGAATCCCTGTTTTGGTCAAACGTACGATATCTTCCAGAAGAAAAAAGCCCGGAAGCTTTGGATTTATATATGGTATGTAATCACGATTGCAGTCTTCCAAATGTACCGGTTAGTTTCTTTTCTCATTTTTTACCTTCTTATATATTGCAGTTGCATTTCAAATAAAGGATTATTGCTTAGTATACAAAACCATTTGACTTTATTTTGTGGCCAGGAAGATAAAAATGACTGAGATAACATTTTTATAATTCAATGTTTTAGCTGCAACATAATTCGAATGTTCGAGTAGGTTTGACTGTAGCGATGCTATGTGAAACAGTTGTAAAAAATGGGCATAAAAAACCGGTGAGCGAGCTGGGTCGTAACGATATTCAATGCCAAGTGTGTTACTGTGCACAAGGTAAATTCATAAAATATAAAATAGCGGAAAAAATTGTAATCATTTTCAGGAACCTCTTAAGGATGCATTATGAAAACTTTTGGTGATAGCTAATTTTATAACCTTATTCTTTAATTTCTCTATAACTTTAATATTAAAATTTCCTTTTCTTTGCAAATAACTGATAAATATTATGGCACCACAAATAAATTATGTAAGCAACTCTTTTCATAAAAATGAGGTAACATCGAAACTGTTAAGACGTTTGCTTGCTAAATAATGTTGAAAGTTCTATTCCAGATCGTAAAAAAAATGTTAAAAAAACTTAAAAATTGCAATCGTAGTTGCTATTGTCTGAATGAAAGAATTTTCATAATAGATAAGTTTTCTTTGAGATTCATAGGGAAACGATTCACGCTCTGAACTTGGGCAGTTCTAGTTTTAGCGAAAAATATTTTGCTAATTTGGACCTCTTTATAATGTAAGCTCAGGACTGTCGTGCAAATGAAACTTCTTTTCCGGGAAATTCGATGTAATTTAATCGTTTAATGTTCTTATTTGTTAAATCGAATGTATCAAATGAAGAGTTTTTCAGTAAATCCAGGTGGTTGGGTACCGGTATCAGCATTGCGAGTTATTTACAAACGTGAGTATCCGAAATTTTTGCATGGTTTCACTAAATATGTGCTTAATAAGATTAAAACTCAACCATTAATGGTTTAAAAAAATCAGTATTTTCAATTTTATTTCATTGTTTACATATCGTTGTACAGTCTATTTCCTTTCTCTTTTTTCCCCTTCAGTGATTTAAACTAGATTCAACATTTCTGCTATTGTATATACTTTAAAATAAATTATTATGATGCTGGTCTTACTAACTTCATTTTCACTTATTCTTTTTTTCCTGTCTTGAAAGTTTTGTTATAGACGATCATAGTCATTTTTGTTTTTAAGGCATTTATGATTCTAGAAGATGAAAGTTTTTTTAAATCGGAATTGGGTATTGCCATTGCGAAATATCAATTCTTACCGTGAAAATTATCTTTTCACTTCTCATTCACTTGTTTTCTTATAATTTATTAAATCAGCAGTATTAGTTACTTTCTGCTGCTATACTGTCATCTTTTGACTATGGTTACGTCGTCCACAGTTTAGCAGTGTTTCACCTCTGCTCAAGCATGAACTAATGTTGCAACAATTTTTTTAAATTACTTTTTTGTCTTGCTTAGTTCATCACAATTAGCAATACTTATTAAACTCCCAAATTTGATCCTTCTATGTCTTCTTACTGCAATTCGAGGTATGTATTTATGATATTCTAAAGTCCATTCGAATTTTCTCATTCTAACCATCATATGTGAATCAGCTTTTAAATTTCATTCCCTTTACGTGAACTTTTTTTAGTTCTTTAATTTGTGCCTACTTATTGTTGACAGTAAATGTGTAATTAATTTTTACTACTTCATCACTTTTGTTTTTTTTATTCTCAAGTCATTTTTGTCTAATAGTACTTATGATATTACATATAATATTTATTCAAAAGGTTTTGCTAAGTTTGCTAATTGTTAGATTTACAGCGCAGAATTTCCTTTTTTGTTAATTCCAATGTTATGAAGTAATGAAGGAATTGATGCAACACACCATTATCTTCTAACTAGCAAAATTTCACTCTTGATTGCAGTCATTATTTTTTTGTCCCCGAGATATTTTTTGAATTTATTAAATAATCAAAGTTCGGGAAAAAATATCACATGTTATCGAACCAAGAATTGAAAATTCATTGGTCAAGATAAATAAGTTGATTGATCCTGTGAGGAGAGTCATTGTCATCGATCTGATTTTATTTATAGCTAAATTTGAAATGATTAATTTTTATCATTATTGTATTTTGTGATTTAATAGGAAAATTATTCCCTTTTCTTTATTTTTTAGCATATATCAGGAAGGAATATACGAAATTTAAGCCTTGTTTACTTGCAGAAAAGTTTTTTCGAATAAACAATTTTCATTTTTCATTGTTCAAAAATTCTGCGCCAAAACATGCATTAATTAAGACAGTTAAGGTAATATATTACCTTACTTGCAGATTTACAATACCTTATACTTATGAAAGAGTACTTCTGCTCATTAATGAGCTTTTATGACAAGTAGCTTTAATTTTTCAGGCTTCTAATCTTTTTTTGAATGTATGAGTAAATTGGAATCACGTAATAAAATGATTAAGACTGCATAGAGTGTGAAATATTATTTAGCATTATTAATAGATGGGATTGCTTGAGAGAAGGATATCAGATGGGGAAAACAAAGTTTATTAAATTTTGCAAAGTTTATGCTTCGTGTATTTCTTCGAAAAGTTTGTCAAATTTAAAAGTTTGTTCCATGTGATTCCTCATGTAGCAATTATTTACTTCAGTATGTGCTTGAGTGAAGAATCTAAAAAATCTGAACAGCTTTTTTTCCATATTCGAAAACTTGATTTTTCAATCCTTTATATCGTCAATAAGTGAAACTTCTTCACATATTCAATATATTCTTTGTTGCTGTGACGTTATACGCCTGTGAATAATTAAACGATTTATATATTAGATCTTCCGATAAAGTTCGAGAGCACATGGTGAATTTTATTCACTTGGTAAATCTGAAGTTGCAGCATTCTTTTTTATTCAGTAAATAATGAATTTGAAAGGAGCGCAAGTACCATTCACCAGGTTAGCTGATCACAATATATATTTTCATAGTAAGGTGTTGCTAATAGGAGTTCTGTGAACGTTTTGAAGTAGTAATATGATGATTTGAAAAAAGCCTGAGGTAATTTTGTACTGGATATGTGATCTTTTGAATTCATACTCTTGAAATAAGTCTAGTTTGCATTTTCTCTGCATTTAAACTTTTGATAAGTTTTTTGTTTCATAGTTTTAAGGCTTAAAGTTTGTTTTTTTCTTTATTCCGTTAAAGCATGCAAAAAAAAAGAGTGTAATTTATTAAATATACTTTTCAGGCGTGAATGGGACATTGTAACAAATGTATATCGAAGTGATAAAGCATCCGAATTAAAACATGCCGTAGCATTAATCGTTTCATGGAAGGCAAGGTTGGCTTTCTTTTGATTATTTTACATCTTTTATTATAATCATCATCGATTCTATGGAAAAATGAAAAATGTTATCTTAAGTTATAATTGTTATATTATTCGGTTTATTTTTCTTTAATTATATCTTTGCTGCTTTGTGATATTTTCTTTGATTATGCTGTAATTTCATATCGGATAGAGTTGCATTTATTGATTCGAGAAAAAAATTTATGTTTATTAGCCGTCGTTGTTAGTTTGTATAGTTTAGTTCTAGCCACACTGTACTTGACAAGAATTCTAAGTTGCATCAAGTTAATCGTATATAATCCTGATGTGTAAAACTGAAAGAGAAAAGATGTTCTACAGACAAAAGTAACTCATTTAGGTCTGGCGATTCGGTACACGTGGCTGCAGATATGACTGAAATGCTGTTACGCGCAATCATTATGGACAAGGAGATCAGAGATGATGACTGGTTCAAGATCGGGAATGTAAAACTCGCCTATTGTACTGCTATTATCAGGTTAGTAAATCTTAAGATTTTCCCAAAAGTTGCCTAATTTAATTAAACGCATTGTAATTAAGGACACAATGGGAATTCAAATTTTAATATTGATGTTTATTTATAAAAAGTTCGAAGACAAAAAGTAACTGCTAGAAGTTATTATCATTTTGTTTCTATAAATATTATTTGAATCAATTTTACCCTCAAATATATATAAAACATGAAGGTTTGGTCCCAGTCGTTATTCAACGTTGTACTGTAGAAGATATTCCTAAACTATAGCACTGTTAAAGAAATCGGTGCTCCGAAAATGCTTGAGCCCATCATTTATAGATATACTTTTATAAAATTAATCTTTTGAATGGTAGTTAAAATTTTGTTCTTATGCCAGTTATCATCTACACATGTAGCTGTAGGGATTGGCAGTTAAGCAGCATTTATTTCGAAGAAAAATAATCTCTGAATTGCCTTACTAAACTGTGAATGAAATTAAAAATAAAAAGACTGACTTATAAATGAGTTGAAAGGTAAAGTTCGAAAGACATGATAAAATGAACGCGAAATTGTTCTTTTGGAGAATTTTAATCTGGATTTTTGGAGAATTATTTAACACTGAAGCATATATGGTAAAAAGAGAAGCATATCATATTAATGATAATAAATGAACATGAAACACTAATGAGAACCAGCGAAATCGATAATATATATACAACTAGTAAGATTTTAGTAGAAATTGTACCGGATGTTATTTCCAAGCCAGCAGTTGCTAAAGTCTCATCATAGTTACACATCATCTGATCACATACGCATCGTGATGTCCATTTTGAACCAAAGATGCTTTGTTGACAACCATTCTCCTCATATTTTTTACCACATCCTTTTTGTATTATTCGTCTCTCTAAAATTGATCATTTATTATCAGTTATACATTGATTTCCAGTATCATAATATTTATTTGGTTAGTTACTCAAAGTTGATCAAAAATTTGAAATTCGAGAACTCCGTTGCAGAAATTCAGTTCAAAACATAGTTGATAAGATATTGCTATTGGTAATACAGATAGTAGTTAGTGATAATGAAAAATAAAGAGAGAAGTGTACAAGAGACAATAAATTAAATAATTTGGTTTCTCAAAATTGAGAAATCGATTCATAGAAATTGTTTTCGATAAAAAGAGAAGAGAAGATGCTAATTTTTAAATAGATTTGTATCGTCAGGTTGTTCGAGAAATTTTATTTTCCATTCTAAGATCCTTGCTTTTCCTTTTTTGCTACAACTAATTTTGTTCTTTTTTTTGAACTTATCAGTTTCCTTATCAAAGCTTTTTGATAGATTTTAAGCAGAACATCACAACAGACACACTTAATATGGAAATGCAACATTTACCATTGTCACGATTAGACGTTTCCATTTTGATGCATACAATACCTTCGCATGCACCACTGTTGCATGTGCCATGTTCGGAATGACAATGAAAGCAAAGTATTGCTTCTGCTACAAAAAAAATTTGAAATTATAACTTCAGCTTAGTATATTAATATTATTTTATAGTGAAGTCTTTAATATGCATTTTAAAATGATAGTTTAAATTTTTCATATTTTTGTAAGTACATTTTATTTCAGTAAATTGTAAAATTTCAAATAGAAATTGTACAAAAGAGGCAAAACTTTACAGTTCAATAAAAAAATAGGAAGGAATCTTTTTTTTCAAATACTTGCAAAATTTTAGTGAATCTAATTTTTAATAATTACCTTTTGCTTGAAATATTATAAATATTACGAGCTGGATAGTTCGTTGTATTGGCGACATAATTTTAGTATTAATAATATAGCAATTTGATAGTCGCAATGATGACGTTTGATTATTTCAGAGTAACTTTGAGGAGATTATTTGCAAGGCGTTCATGTGTCAGAAAACAAATTTTTCTCTTTTTTTATTTTTCCTTGGAAAATTACAAACATCCTGAAAAATGAGTATATTTTGCGTGGTTAGATGATTAAGATTTTTCCATCATATTCTTAGCTTTTTTTTCTTCCTCTTTACTATCTCCTCCTCTATTTTTCTCTTATTTTTATAGAAGGACAAGATATGTAGATTAATGAAAAAAAATTGATAAAAATGAATTGTTGATTAAAGTCAACAAGTTGTGGAATGTTTTTGATTTGAACCAAATAATAATTTGATTGCTTTTCATCTTTGACAAGTTTAAGTGGTTATTTGCATATTAAATTTCTAATATTTCTACTTTCATTTTTTTGCTTTTTTGAGATTATAGTCTCGATGTTCTCGGAATTGTGATCGTTCCACTTCTAGAATCTTGTTGTCTTCGTTTTCCAACAATATATCAATATTCTTTGCTTCCCTGTTAATTCGTTGACATCTTCTACATTCAACTACGCAATTGCTTAAATTGTTAATGGGCTAAAATGACTTTTGATTTGATGAATTTACATAACAAAGGATAAGTTCAATTTGCATATTTATGGAATGAAATATAGGAAGCTTAAATTTGGGAAAAAGGTGAAAGTAAATTATGGATGGAAATAAGACAAATTTAATATTTTACTAATAGAGTTAATATTTTACTAATAGTAATGCCATAGTTACGATTGATCAACTTTCCAAAATCAACTTTTGATCTTTTATGATATGGGTCATGAGGGATTACTATTGAAATGATGATGCAATCGATATTAAATGAGATGATTAATGACTGCAAAATATAACAGTAGTGGATGATAACATATATTATCTTGCAATATAATGATAAGAATAAAAAAGTAAAAATGATAAAATAAGAGCCAAGAAGATAGATATAAAGAGTTAGATCAGGTATATCGCAAATGTATCGCAAAAAAAAAAAATGAAAACATAACCAGCATTTGATATGCATAAATGCTCTTTGCGTTTTCATGTTTTCATTTTTTCACTTTTTATTTCCAACGATTTTTTTCCAAAAGTTCAAGCAAGATAAATGCAGCTAAAGTGAAATTCATTTAGGATTAAGAACACCTCAATTGCCTAACATTAAATAACTGCCGCAGTGTGGTAATATTTTTTTTATGATATGCTATCAAAACGAAAACAACTTAGAATATCATATTGAATTGCCTGATTGCCAGGTAGCTAAATTCACTAATTTGATGTTATATAAACAAATTTATCCATTTCTTTCTAGATTTATCACATGCATTTAAAATTTTGCGATTGACTTCTTCAAAATTTGTCAATGATTATAAAATAACGATGAAGTGTTCGATTACTTCATAACTTGCTGCTTATAAGATAACTTAAAATTTTTTTGAGATTTCTTATCAAAAATTAAAATTATGTTTGCTTATCTAACTGAGAAAGGTAGCTACGCGAGGATAAAATTGGATAGATAAGGGATTACGAAATGTCCGGAGGGGAAGATCGAAATTTTGGGAAGTTGTCAAGGAAAGGATTTAATGTATGCTTGACTGAATAATTTTTTCAAAAAAAGGACGAACAAACTCTCACTTTAAAAGCATTTATGATGAATGAAATACGATGATTTTTTTTTTTTCATTTGAGAAGTGTGAAATTGCATAAAATGGGGATGGCAAAAATGTTAACACTAAACTGATAGATTATTAAAATGGAACTTTTAGACTGCTTATAATTATCGTACAACGAATAATCCACGAAAATATTTCGCTGGTTTTGAGAAATATGAGGATCATTAGGAATAAATTCTATTTGAAAAATTTTAAAATAAAATATGTACGGAGCATCTAATACTCCATTATGATATAGGGATAATGTGTAAAATTATTCGGTAACATCACTATTAGTAATCCATTTGAAAATTGAGTTTTTGAGGTTTTCCTCCTTTGAAATTCAATTTTTCAAAAATCTATCAGCGTGAATGATTACAAAAAGTTTTTTTTGTTCACTTTATTAAAGTCAATGCTGTCTTGCCAACTT